CATGATTGGTCACTCCAGAGAACACGTCTCCACTGATCTAGAGTCCAGTGGCGGTGTGTTTTACACCACTGCATCCAACACTTTGCATTGCGCTTGGTGATGTAAGGCTTGGATACAGCTACTCGACCATGGAAACCCATTCCATGAAGCTCTCTACGCACTGTTGTTGTGCTAATCTGAAGGCCACATGAAGTTTGGAGGTCTTTAGCGATTGACTCTGCAGACAGTTGGCGACTTCTGCGCGCTGTGCGCTTCAGCATGCTCTGACCCTGCTCTGTCATTTTACGTGACCTTCCACTTCATGGCTGAGTTGCTGTTGTTTCCAGTTGCTTCCACTTTGTTATAATACAACTAACAGTTGACCGTGGAATATTTAGCTGCAAGGAAATTTCACAGATGGGCTTATTGAACAGGTGGCAACCTATGAAGGTACCACTCTTGAATTCACTGAGCTCCTGCGAGCGACCCATTCTTTCACAAATGTTTGTAGAAGCAGTGTGCATGTCTATGTGCTTGAATTTATACACTTGAGGTGGTGATTGGAACGTGGTGGTGATTGGAACACCTGAATCTGATGATTTGGAAGGGTGTCCCAGTACTTTTGGTAATATAGTGTATGTATCCGTAAGGACATTGCCAATACTCAATCTGCCTCCCTCCCACCATTACCCCATCAACTCTCCCCTCCTCTGACCTCGCAACCGCCCTGCCCCTCCCCCCCACACACCTAACATCTCACACACTATAAGCTCCCCAACACCCCGCTCTTTCAGCGCTGCTACCACTGAGGAGGTCACTAAGGTCTTCTCAGAAGCCCGCCTCACCACTTACCCCCTTGGCCCTGTCCCCACACAACTCCTCCAGTCACCTTCCTCCTCCATCCTACGCTCCCTCACCCACATCTTCAATCTCTTCCTCTCTACTGGCGTATTCCCCTCCCCCCTAAAGCACGCGCACATCACCCCCATACTCAAAAAACCCTCCCTGGACCCCACCGACCTGAACAACCTTAGACCCATCTCCATGCTACCATTCACATCCAAGCTGCTTGAGCGCTTAGTCTACAATCGCCTAAGCTCAACAACCTCTTCAATCCTCTACAGCAGGGGTCCTCAAACTTTTTAAACGGGGCCAGTTCACTGTCCCTCAGACCGTTGGAGGGCCGGACTATAGTTTAAAAAAAAAAAAAAAACTTTGAACAAATGCGGACACAGTACAGGAGATGACTAGAGACTGCGGACATACAACGGCGGTGGGAATACTGGGCCGGTTGCTCCATAAGACACACAGACATTTCCCCCCAAGTGTGTCTTATGGAGTGAAAATGGTGCCCCATCATTGTCGTCAGTGGGGGGAAGAATAGTGCCCCATCATTGGTGTCAGTGCGGGGAGGAATAGTGCCCCATCATTAGTGTCAGTGGGGGGAGGAATAGTGCCCCATCGTTGGTGTCAGTAGGGGAAGAGGATAGTGTCCCAACATTGGTGTCAGTAGGAGGAATAGTGTCCCATCATTGGTGTCAGTGGGAGGAATAGTGTCCCATCATTGGTGTCAGTGGGAGGAATAGTGTCCCATCATTGGTGTCAGTGGGAGGAATAGTGTCCCATCATTGGTGTCAGTGGGAGGAATAGTGTCCCATCATTGGTGTCAGTGGGAGGAATAGTGTCCCATCATTGGTGTCAGTGGGAGGAATAGTGTCCCATCATTGGTGTCAGTGGGAGGAATAGTGTCCCATCATGGGAGGAATAGTGTCCCATCATTGGTGTCAGTGGGAGGAATAGTGTCCCATCATTGGTGTCAGTGGGAGGAATAGTGTCCCATCATTGGTGTCAGTGGGAGGAATAGTGTCCCATCTTTGGTGTCAGTGGGAGGAATAGTGCCCCGTCAGTGGGTGTCAGTGGGGGGGATAGTGTTCCAACGTTGGTGTCAGTGGGAGGAGAATAGTAACCCATCATTGGTGTCAGTGGGGGGTGGAATAGTGCTCCATCATTGGTGTCAGTGAGGGGGAGGAATAATGCCCCATCATTAGTATCAGTGACACCAATGATGGGGCACTATTCCTCCCACTGACACCAATGACAACTTGCTGATCCCTGCTCCAGCATGGTGCTGCTGCAGCCAGCATACCTGGTTGCAGCAGCACCATCAACACGGCACACTTACCTGTCAGCTGTCCTTCACTCTGGCCTCTCCCTCACTCGATGTTCGCGGGCCGCTCGGCTCCGCATTCTCGCAGGCGATTGGCCGCCTGTGTGCCTTTCCTGAGCTACAGTTCTGGCACCCAATCACCGGTGAGGAGGCGGAGCCGAGCGGGCAGGAGCGAGGGAGTGGCCGGAGTGAATGAAGGAGCAGCGCTTCCTGGACTGGATCGTCGTGGGACTAGGACCGGAGCCAGGTAAGCTACAGCAGCCCCCTGCCCACCCCTGTACTTAGTGTCCCTTCCTCGCGGAAAATAGGCCCCTGCCGGTGGGCTGGATAGATGTCCTCGGTGGGCCGTAGTTTGAGGACCCCTGCTCTACAGTCTGGCTTCCATCCCCTACACTCCACCAAAACCGCCCTACTCAAAATCACTAACGACCTGCTAACTGCCAAAGCTAATGGCCACTACTCAGTCCTACTCCTCGACCTCTCCGCGGTCTTCGACACAGTTGATCACCCCCTCCTCCTTAATAAACTACACTCCCTTGGCATCAGAGACTCCGCTCTCTGCTGGCTTTCCTCCTATCTATCCCAATGCTCCTTCAGCATTACCTATAACGCTACCACCTCCCCCTCTCTGTTGGGGTCCCCCCAAGGCTCTGTCCTCGGGCCCCTTCTTTTCTCCATCTACACCTCCTCCTTCGGCAAACCGACACACTCCCACGGCTTCAACTATCACCTCTACGCCGATGACACACAAATTTACCTCTCCACCCCTCACCTCACCCCTTCAGTCTCTGCCCGTATCACCCACCTACTGAACGACATATCAGACTGGATGTCGCTCCATTTCCTTAAAAATTGAACCTTTCCAAAACCGAGCTCCTAGTCCCCCCCCCCCCCCATCATCTTCATCACGACCAACAACGCCACCATCAATCCCACCCCACAAGCCAAAGTCCTAGGTGTCACCCTGGACTCAAACCTTTCCTTCCAACCCCATGTCCAATCGCTGGCCAATTCATGTAGGCTCCACCTCCGCAACATCTCCAAGATAGGTGCGTTCCTAAACCCAGACACTAATAAACAACTCGTTCTCTCCCTTATTCTCTCACACCTGGACTACTGCAATTCCCTTCTCACCGGCCTACCCCAACACAGGCTATCCCTGCTTCAGTCTATCCTGAAATCAGCGGCCAGACTCCTCTACCTTACCAACCGCTCTACTTCTGCCACCCCCCTCTGTCATTCCCTCCACTGGCTTCCGATTGCCCAACGCATTAAATTCAAACTACTAACATTTAGATAAAATAAATAGAACCAGCGCCACGGAAAATATATATAAATCAATAAGCTGCAAAACCTAACCTATAAAAGTGTATAGGGTGTACCAAATATATAACAAAAAGGTTGTGCTAAAATGTATACAATATATGTATCAAACCAATAATAATCAGTGAGAAAAAATAGAAAATGCAACAAATATAAAGTCCAAAATTATAAAGTTCAAATATTCAATGGTGTCCAATATTATCACCAAGTGAATCCACCACCAAAATTGGTTAAATAAAAACTCACCAGAGCAATATGCTGATATGATAAACCAGCATAAAGCGCTTTTTGCTCTGGGAGTGATGATCAGTAGATGACAGCAACAAAAGGAATATTGCAGGATGAGCTCCAAGGAGTAATAATCTGCAGAACTGAAGATCCACTTAAAAGATGCCAAATATCCTCAACAGAAGATGCTCAGACAGCCACTCGGGAGAGAAAAGGACAAACTCATGGTGCAGTATGTAGTAAAAGCATTGTTTCTTTAATAAACAAAACTCACAAACAGGGGCGGACTGACCATTTGGAAACTCTGGCACTGCCCGAAGGCCCGGGGTCAGTAGGGGGCCCCATAAGATGCCCCTGGTACCTTTTTTTTCATAGGCTTTTTTGAGTTTGGGCAAGGACACAGGGGCCCCATGATCCCCAATTGCCCAGGGGCCCCATGAGTTGTCAGTCCACCCCTGCTTACAAACATGGTGTCCAAATTGACACCAGTATAGACAGCATGTGTTCAAATAAATCAAACAAGCCCAGCTAAGCTTGCACATGCACCGTGCAAGCGGACCAGTAGCGTGCTGATGTCACATCCAAAGGCTCCGCCCTACGTATTTCATCATTGACGTCCTCATGGAGCGGATTCATCTCTTTTCTGTTTTTCTCACTGATTATTATTGGTTTGATACATATATTGTATACATATTAGCGCAACCTGTTTTTTATATATAAACTACTAACATTGATGTACAATGCCATTCATAACGCTGCCCCAAACTACCTCACCGACCTGATACCCAAATACCACCCAACCCGTACTCTTCGCTCCTCACAAGACCTCCTACTTTCTAGCTCCCTGGTCTCCTCCTCCCACACCCGACTGCAGGACTTCTCCAGGACTTCCCCCATCCTCTGGAACTCTCTACCCAATCCAACAGACTGTCACCTTCAGGCGCACCCTGAAAACCCATCTCTTCAGGGAAGCCTACCCCACCCTCACCTAACAGCCGATCTCATCCTACCACTCCACCCCCCACAGCCACTTCCTCCTGTACCACTATCCCCTCCCTCCTAGATTGTAAGCTTGAAAGAGCAGGGCCCTTGACCCCCTCGTGTTTTGTTTTGTTACTGTATTGTCTCATGTTCTGTCCCCCACTATAATGTACAGCGCTGAGCAAACCTTTTGGCACTATATAAATACTGTATAAATAATAATAATAATGTATTGCTACATATGCATAAGTATTGTTACATATGCATCTTTGTTCTCCACTCCTCCCTAATGTGATTTTATATATATATATATATTTTTTTTCTTTTTAGGGGAAGCTGGTGCAAACATTATTGAGGTCTCTAAGGAAGCCAGAAAACGGTTTCTGGGACCTCTGCATCCATCATTTAATCTGGTGAAGATAATTCGGAACTGCCTGTACAAGACGCTACCGGATGATGCACATGAAAATTCTACTGGGCGGCTGGGAATATCCCTGACCCGTGTGTCCGATGGAGAGAATGTGCTTCTAACACAGTTCAACACCAAGGAAGAGCTTATACAGGTAACTTTATATCTGCGAAGATGGATGTATACTGTATACAGAGATGGATGAATGTAAATAGATAATTAAGGTAAACCTATTGAGGTAACAGACTAGAGGCGCAGTTGTCAAGTTCTGGGAGGGCGTCATATGACGTCCTCTCAGAACGCGTCCTCCCGCATGACCCCAGCAGCACGCACCCTTTGATCTCTGTGATCGCTGTGTCCTATGGACACAGCTGATCACGTGGTGAGGTAAAAGGCTAATCACAGCGGCCTTTTACCATGTGATCAGCAGTGTCCAATGACATAGCAGATCAGCGAGTAAATACAGTTGCCGGTTATCGTTGCTGTGACAGTGTGAGGAAGGTACTGCTAATAGTCGTCAGCTGTCACAGAGCAGATTGGCACTGATGACCAGTGCCACCAGTCAGTGCCGTCAGTCAGTGCCCATCATTGCTTCATATCAGTGCAACATCGTCAGTACCTCCTCATCAATGCCCACAAGTGCCACCTCATCAATGCCACCTCATCAGTGCCGCTTATCGGTGCCCATCAGTGCTTCCTCATCAACTCACATCAGTGAAGAAGAAGAATTACCAGTTTGCAAAATTTTATAATCGAAACAAAGAAAAACTTCTTTTTTTTTTTTTTTTGCTCTTTTTGTTTATAGTGCGAAAAATAAAACACCCCGTGGCGATTTAAATACCACCAAAATAAAACTCTATTTGTGTGAAAAAAAAATAAAAATTTCATATGGGTACAGTGTTGCATGGCTGCGCAATTGTCATTCAAAGTGTGACATCGCTGAAAGCTGAAAATTGGCCTGGGCACGAAGAGGGTAAAAGTGCCCTGTAGGCAAGTGGTTAAATAGTGGATATGTATGAATTATTTTTGAAGAATAAGGATATTAAGTGTCACTTTAGATCTGAGTCCCGGCATACTAGGATAGTAAGAAGGGCACAACTCCTAGTAGGATGCAAGGAGAAGGGAATTAACCTGTGTTCTGACTTGGGGTTCTTTCTGCATCCTCGCCATACCTAGGTTTGGGAGGACACTGGGGGGGGGGGGGGGGGGGACTAGGAGAAGACTAAACAGGCATGTTCAGTCTCTTTGTAGTGCCTGTTCTTACCATGCTGTCTTGGCTCATTTTAGTTTTTGTTTGTATTTCCTTCAATTAAGTTTGTTTTACAATGAAAAACAAACAATGAGAGGACATGAACATATCATAAAGCTCATTAGGTTTAACGTAAAACAGGTTTTCTTTAGATTGAAGTGCGTGCATTCTAGCTAATGTGTACTGTTGCCTACAAAAAAATCTAGATGGTGTTAAAGCTGTAGTCTATAGTGAATTCCTGCCCTTATTGTGGACAATAATCTGGTGGTATACAGCTTTTAGAAAATTCAGACAAAATGTTTAGTGGCTGAGATGGAATTATTTATGTGATTCTTAACCGTTTTTCATTGCTGGCAAACAATGGTGATCCCAGGACTGCAGGCTGGCAGATTCAAGCATAATTGTGTATGTAGGTCAGGGTTAAAAAAACATCCTTTTAGCCTTCAGATCTGTTCCCAGTAAACAACTGACTTGGCTCAGCTATAGGAAAGCTCAAACCAGTTTTTTGTGATTGGGTAGCTATAGACAGTAGTGAAATAGCAGCTACACTTGGGGAGAATCTTAGCCCATTATACTGTAGCAATGTGTGGCACCCAGAGTTTTGTAACACAATACTCTTCTCTTTCAGGCCTGTGTATGCAGTACATTTATTCCTGTATATTGTGGACTCATCCCTCCATGCCTACAAGGAGTAGTAAGTAAACTATGCATCTTTGTATTAGGCAGTATTGCTTCATGTATCTTCTGTTTATTGGAAAATATCACCTATCAGTATGACTGCTAAAAGCCACATAATCACTGACATTTCTGCATGACTGCAGATGATGCTAAAAGCCACATAATCACTGACATTTCTGCATGACTGCAGATGATGATTGTAGTCTGAGTGACATGCACTTATACCTGCATTTTTTTTTTCTGACTGCTTGGATCTATGATGAAATGGAATTTGACAAGTGAGTTCAGTGTTGTCAGTCTTAATTATTGTCACCTGAAAAGAGGCAGCTTTTTTGTATCACACAGCTTTAAAAACAAACCATATGGTACAATGTCCCACTATGTACAGTTGTGTTCAAAATAATAGCAGTGTGTTGAAAAAAGTGAATAAAGCTCAAAATCCTTCTAATAGCTTTTATTTCCATACACACAAATGCATTGGGAACACTACACATTCTATTCCAAATCAAAACATGAAGAAAAATAGATAAAATTTTGTGTTGTTCCTCTAAAAAAAAAAAAATTGAAGAAAAGTGAATATTAGACTGTTCAAAAAAATAGCAGTGTTTGTATTCTTCTTTACAAACTCAAACATTCACTATATAAACTGAAAAATGTTTGAAGATTTTGCTTTCCTTTGAATCACGTAATTAATATTTAGTTGTATAAGCACTGTTTCTGAGAACTGCTGTACATCTGTGTTGTATGGAGTCAACCAACTTCTGGCACCTGTGAACAGGTATTCCAGCCCAGGATGATTGGACTACATTCCACAGTTCTTCTCTATTTCTTGGTTTTGCCTCAGAAACTGCATTTTTGATGTCACCCACAAGTTTTCTATTGGATTAAGATCCGGGGATTGGGGCTGGCCACTCCATAACGTCAATGTTGTTGGTCTGGAACCAAGATGTTGCACGTTTATTGGTGTGTTTGGGGTCGTTTCCTTGTTGGAACACCCATTTCAAGGACATTTCCTCTTCAGCATGACCTCTTCAAGTATTCTGATGTATTCAAACTGATCCATGATCCCTGGTATGTGATAAATAGGCCCAACACCGTAGTATGAGAAACATCCCCATATCATGATGCTTGAGCAACCATGCTTCACTGTCTTCAGTGTACTGTGGCTTGAATTCAGTGTTTGGGGGTCGTCTGACAAACTGTCTCCGGCCACTAGACCCAAAAAGAGCAATCTTACTTTCATCAGTCCACAAAATGTTGCGCCATTTCTCTTTAGGCCAGTCAATGTGCTCTTTTGCAAATTGTAACCTCTTCAGCACGTCTTTTTTTCAACATGGGATTTTGCGGGGGCTTCTTGCAGATAGCTTGGCTTCACATAGGAGTCTTCTAATTGTAACAGTACTCACAGGTAACTTTACACCTTCTTTGATCTTTCTGGAGCTGATTGTTGGCTGAGTCCTTGCCATTTTGGCTATTCGAATGGTAGTTTTTCGCTTTCTTCCACGTCTTTCAGGTTTTGATTGCCATTTTAAAGCATTTGCGATAATTTTTAGCTGAGCAGCCTATCATTTCCTGCACTTCTTTATGTTTTCCCCTCTCCATTCGACTTTTTAATCAAGGTATTCTGTTCTTCTGAACAATGTCTGGAACGACCCATTTTCCTCAATTTCAGCGAGAAATGCACTGTAACCAGCATGTACAACATTTGCTGCCTTCCTTCCTTAAATAAGGGCTATAATTGCCACTTGTTTTTTACAGAAAGAATGACCTCACTAATAGAACTCCAAACTGCTATTATTTTGAACATGCCCCTTTCAATTAGTGATTCAATTACACAGAATCAGCAGCATGCATGTCATGACTGTTGGGTCTGTTGGATTTCTATTACTCTACTACACCTGCTAGTAAATTATTTGCCATGTAGAAATATCATTTCTACCAAAAACAGTGATTGATCAGGTTAGTGATGTCTGACTGCTATTATTTTGAACACAACTGTATATACTAGAAAAAACTGGAAATATTCCCCTGGGACTTTGATGGCAAAAACCTCGAGTATGCAGAAAGTGTATAAATTGACAATATTTATTGTAAGACCTAGGCATAGTAAAAAGAATCAAAAGATTTGGAGTAGTAGATTGTACTACAATGATTCCTGTATCACATATAAAGCATACACAGTGTGCATCGAACCTGACAGTCTATAACACATCAAATGGGCAAGCAGCCCAACCAAACTTGTACAGTGATGTTGTTCAGACAAATCCAGCGCATTTCGGAACTTTCATTTCCTTCTCCAGGGTCTAAATATGTAATGTCTAGAAATATAAGAAAAGCATAAACAGTAAGGTAACATAGTATCATTTTGGAAGTATCTAAGGAAAAGCTGGTTGCTCAAACACTTACAAATTGCACCACATGAAGTGATAAGTAACAGGTATTGATGGAAAAATTGGATGAGGATATTGTCCCGCTGACACATCAGAGACGTCGCATAGCGCCATCCACCAACAAGTACCACCCAGCAGTAGCCAATGGGGGGGTACTAGCGAATATAATGGAGGCCACATATGGAAAGATCTAATATAAATTAATGGGCACATAAGAATGTATAGTACGTGTATAGCCCAATTGGCATAAGGGCTTAGTAAAAGTATGTATTGTAATATGTAGAGTTAGGTCCATATATATATTTGGACACTGGCACAATTTTATTTTATTTTTTTCAGGTATTTACCAAAACATATTTAAGCTATAGTTCTATAATGGATATGGGCTGAAAGTGCACACTCTCAAGTTTAATTTGAGGGTATGTACATCCAAATTGGAGGAAGGGTTTAGGAATTACAGCTCTTAAGAATAGCCACCCCCCTTTTTCAAGGGACCAAAAGTAATTGGACAATTGAATCAAAAGTTGTTTCATGGCCAGGTGTGGGCTACTCCTTTATTATTTCTACATCAATTAAAACAGGTAAAAGGTCTGGAGTTGATTCTAAATGTGGTATTTGCATTTGGAATCTATTGCTGTGAACCTACATCATGCGTTGGAAGGAGCTGTCCATGCAAGTGAAACAGGCCATTGTAAGGCTTCAAAAACGAAACAAATCCATCAGAGAGATAGCGGCAACATAAGGAGTGGCCAAGGCAACAGTTTGGTACATTTTGAGGAAAGAAGAATGCACTGGTGAGCTCCGCAACATAAAAAGGCATGGACATCCATGGAAGACAACAGTGGTGGATGATTGCAGGATCCTCTCTATGGTAAAGAAAAACCCATTCACAACATCCAGACAAGTGAAGGACACTCTGCAGGAGGTGGGTGTATTATTGTTAAAGTCTACAATCAAGAGAAGACTTCACAAGAGCATATTCAGAGGGTTCACCACAAGGTGCAAACAATTCATAAGCCTGAAGAATAGAAAATCCAGATTAGACTTTGCCAAAAAACATCTAAAAAAAAAGCCAGACCAGTTCTGGAAAAGCATTCTTTGGACGGATGAAACTAAGATTAATCTGTACCAGAATGACAGGAAGAAAAAAAGTGTGGAGAAGGCTTGGAACAGCTCATGATCCAAAGCACACAACGTCATCTGTAAACCATGGTGGTGCCAGTGTGATGGCATGGGCAAGCGTGGCACTGGGTCCTTGATCATGTGACAGAAGCAGCTGGATGAATTCTGCAGTGTATAGAGATATACTGTCAGTCCAGATTTAGCCAAATGCAGCAAAGTTGATTGGACAGCGCTTCACAGTACAGATGGACAATGATCCAAAACACACTGCAAAAGCAACCCAGGAGCTTTTGAAGGAAAAGACGTGTAATATTCTGCAATGGCCGAATCAATCACCTGTTCTCAACCCAATTGAGCATGCATTGCACTTGCTGAAGGCAAAAAACCAAAGGCAGAAAGACCCACAAAGAACAACTGAAGACAGCTGCAGTTAGAGCCTGGCAAAGCATCAGAAAGGAGGAAACCCAGTCTTTGGTAATGTCCATGGGTTCCAGACTTCAGGCAGTGAGTGCCAGTAAAGGATTCTCAACAAAAATTATTAAAAATGAACATTTTTTATTTATTCAATAGTCCTATTACTTTTGGTCCCTTGAAAAAGGGGGGATGGCTACTTTTAAGAGCTGTAATTCCTAAACCCTTCCTCCAATTTGGATGTACATACCCTCAAATTAAACTTGACAGTGTGCACTTTCACAGCCCATATCCGTTCTATAACTATAGCTTAAATATGTTTAGGTAAATACCTGAAAAAAACCTAAAATTTTTCGTGTGTGTGTGTGTGTGTGTGTGTGTGTGTGTGTGTGTGTGTGTGTGTGTGTATATATGGACCTAACTGTAGTTAAGAGAGTCCAGCCCAGATGGGAATAGTAAAAGATACGTATGTAAGCCGGTATACAAGCACACTAAACCAACCTTCTAAAAAAAGGGGCATAGACCGATATTATTTATTTACCACCAATAGTGCCTGTGTATTTCACATGGAACCATCTCAAAGTTGTCCAAGAGGACTGCATGTGCCTGTGATCTAATATAAATAGTGATGTTCAAATGCTCCCGCACCAGTAAGCAACCATCCAGGTCTAACATCGCATCTGGTGGATAATTAAATAAGTAAGTCTAGTTTGTATCACACAGCAGCTGCTGTAGAGAAGGCCCATCTATGCTACTAATCCTTGGCTGAGATATTTTAGGCCTCATGCACAAAGGCCATTAAAAACGCCACTTTTTGGAGTGTTTTGGGTTTTTTTTTTTTTTTTTTTTTTTTTTTACTCTGCCTCTAAACGCCCTTCATTGTTAGGGCTCATGTACACGGGGCGTTTGGAAAACTCTTCTGAATGATGGAAACTGATTGCTAGCAAAAGTAGGTTAAAAAAACGGCCAGTTTAGCGGAATTTGCATACCGCGTTTATGTACGTTTGCGTTTAGAAGCATTTTAAAAACTTAACCTCAGGAGACCTTCCCAAATGCCCAGAACACACTGAAAAATAGTAAATAATTAACTATTTCAGACATTTTGAGAGAAATGGAGGGAGCAGAAGCAGAGAGAGCAATATGTGTTGAGATTAGCTGTCTTTTCTGGTTGAATTCACTATGGATCCCATCATGAGCATAATGCAGCATGTTCTACTATTTTTTTGCCTTTACATGAAACCTGAAACTGACTGCGCAGGTGTGCTAGCTTCATTTGAATACATGGAAAACTCTTTGCATGCATTTCTGATGATGAAAAAGGATCTGGACATATAATGTTTGTAACGCCGGTAAAATCTACTCCTGAATGCAAGTTTGATGCGTTAAAAAAAAACGACTGTAAACTCAACTGCCTGTAAACGACTATGTGTACATGGACACATAGGAAAACATTAGGGAGAGTTCAGGGGCTGCTGAAAAAACCACTGAACAGCTCCTGAACGTCCGTTTAGGAGCTACAGTGTACATGAGCCCTCAGCCTATCTATCCATGCACACATAGGCGTTTAGAGTCAGAAAAAAACAACAACCCACTCTCCACTCAGAGTGGCAGGGAGAACTGAAAGGTTAGTGGTGTGTGATCGCTCAGTTCTCAGCTTCGGAGCCTGCGGGGGACAGATGCAGCATCGAATCAACGCTGCATCCACCTGTATCGGTCTATATGCTATCCAACTGATCTTCCAAACAGGTCAATGATGCTTAGCAGCTTTGGAACGGTCCTTACATATCATGCGTTAGCATAATCCTGTCTGTTCTACAAATCATTTATGTTGAGGGAATTTATCACATTGCAGTAAAAGTGAACCCCAGCTGTGGATCAGTGAATGGCAAGGTCTCTTACCACCCACAGCTAGCTAGACAGCAGGGGCGGACAACCTATGGGGCCCCCGGGCAATAGGAGATCATGGGGCCCCTGTGTCCTTGCCCAAACTCAAAAAAAGCCTATGAAAAAGGTACCAGAGGCATCTCATGGGGCCCCCTACTGACCCCGGGCCCTCGGGCAGTGCCCGAGTTTCCAAATGGTCAGTCCGCCCCTGCTAGACAGCTCATTCTCTGAGGTGTGACCGCAGAAGTTGAAGGTGTTCACCGCAGTTCTGTAGATGATGCCACAGCCTGCCCATTTAGATTTGGCTGAACTTTCTGACTGTCATTAAGGTATGTCTGAAGAAACCCATCCCCTGAGGTTCGCATTATTTACTGAGAGGAAATGTTCGGACCTCTTTAATGTTAAAAAATAGACTTAGGCAAGTGTTCACATTTACTATATGGTAGAAAAGTCCTTGTAAAATTCATACAAATCCCCACAGTGGCATACAGTGATTGTATTTATGCATTACTTTGGTATACATGCAGTATTCTTGGCCCTGTGTACTTGAAAATTAATTTTTTTTTTTTCCTGGATACTCTTATTAGAGGTACGTGGATGGAGGTATTTCTGATAATCTGCCTCAGTATGAACTGAAGAGAATACGATCACCGTCTCACCATTCTCAGGTGAAAGTGACATTTGTCCCCGCGATGGCTGCACCAACATTCATGAACTCAGAGTCACCAACACCAGCATACAGTTTAACCTCAGTAACCTGTACCGCCTGTCAAAAGCCCTCTTCCCTCCAGAGCCCCAGGTAAATAGGCACCTAATATCAATGTGTGGTTTGAGTGATTGGATGATAAATAGAAACACACTGCCAGTGTTTGGCCAGATCAGGATTTATTCAACTGTCACAAGAAAGGATACTTTTTATCTTTCCTCATAGAAAGTAACAATCTGGGTCTGATGAAGTGTTTTTGCTTCACATGACATTCTGAATAAAATGTAAGTAGAACTAAAGGCAAAGCCTTTTTTTTTATTTTGGGTAGAGTAAGCAAGGTGTTTTTTGTTTGTTTGTTTTTGTGTGGGATTTTTTGCCCATTAGGTAGATTTTCTTTCATATCCTGTTCCTTGGCCAAAGCCAGAAGTGAGAGGAAATCCCTCTAAAATTGGACAACTTCCCTTTATTACTATACTGGTGACAACCCAAAGTGTGGGTTTTTCTTTTTCAGTACTTACACTTTTGGTAATAATGGTTAACGTGACACAGAGAGGGTGAATCTCGCCAACGGGCACAGACAGCAATAAAAATTGACAGCTGTTCTAATCCTTCTCCACTCTATCCAAAACTAAAAAAAAAAAGTTTTGACTTTAGTTACGCTTTTAACTATACACTTTAAAGTGTTACTAAACCCGCAACAGTAAAATCAGTCTGTATATGCAGAAAAGCATACTTGTTATATTCACTGTGGAACCTAAGGGGTTAATCCTCTGTATTGTGTAAAAAGGCTGTTTGATCCTGTCTTGTCTGCCCCTCCTCGTTGAAATGAGTACCTGAAACAAACTGATTCCGTAGTCACATGCACATGCTTAGTTTGTGTATTGCTAGAGAGGTTTTTTTTTTTTTTTTTTCTTTTCTTTTCTTGGGAGGGTGCATGTGATCAGCACAGGGCTATTCAGCACTGTCCAGACAGAGGGTCAGGGGTTTTGCATTCTCCTAGAGCAGAAAGAAAACTCAAGCTTTAACCAGCGCTTTGCTGAAGTCACAAGACTGCTGATCAGGAAAGGTATTTAGCCGTTTATATTTACTAAAATAATTGCGCTTCCATGTTCTGTGTACTGTGGGAGACCAGATATAGTGAATGCAGAGTCCTGGGTTTAGTAACACTTTAAGCCTGGGATCACATATGTGCGGTATATCGCATGTGATTAGCACAGAAACCGCACCGCATTTCTGATGTACAAATCACATGCGATTTCTGTGCGGTGTGATTGGAGCCATAAATTATGTATGGCTCTCTTTGCACCACACCAAAAACGCACAGGACCCTTTTTTGGTCCACACTAGAATCGGATCACATAGGTATTCACACGTTTCGAATAAACGGAGTGCGATTCTGATGCGGTGCGGAATTTGCACTGAAAATGCTGCGAATTCACTCTGCATCAGTGTGAACCAGGGCTTACTATATTTATCATATGGGGCACTTTATCGCCATCCAGTGATGTACAAAGAAAATTACAGTTTGTAAATACTATCCATACTGCATCCAGAAAATGGTCCAAGTAGCTAAAGGTTCATGAGGCCAATGTGACATCAATATTTTATATTCCACTTATTCATCATCTGCAAACACCTATAAAATATTACACTATATACAACATACAAAAAGCCTTGTTTACTAATATGTAATATATTTAAAAGAATATTTAAATATTTTTTTTTCATTTGTGAAGCCGAACCGTAATCATGGTTATAAATACTATATATAATATTTAACAGAGCCTGGCAGAAATGGTACTAAATGTATGTTCTGAAAACCAATTGTTAATGCAAGTCTTTCTGCCTTGTTACTAGCCATATTTTAATGACTTTGCTTCTACTGTAAAGTGAAGGCAAGCTAAATAACCAGCTGTCCTGAGAACTGGTTCTATCAGCTTACAAGTAAAGAGCTGTTAAGTTTCCAAGAGCGTAAGGTTCTTGTTTATGGGTATATAACCAAATTAGGTTAGACATATAATACAACAAAACAAGGCTGGTGTGTTAAATTGGATCATTATAATTGTAGTCTCATTAATAGGAATTAATATACATTAATGTTGTCCAGGTTTTTAATAAGGAGGGGATAGGACATTGTTTGCTTTTTCTACATGTTGGTGCTATTTTCAGTTAGCATATTTAGGAATATGGGCCTGGTTAAATTGCAGATATGAATTAGTAGAATTTTATTGCGACCGTATTTAAATAAATCAAATTTAATTTAATTTGAATAATAAAAATCAAATATTTGGTGTCTTCCCTCCATTTCATATGTTGAAAAGGTAGTTTTGTATGATGAGTAATTTTTGTGTCCATGTGCTGTCACTGTTCTCCATACATTGTATTGTATGCAGCCATTATTACCCCATGCCTTCTACTTCATTTCCACATACCGAATACAAACACACATAGTACACTACACTCTCTTGCCAAAAGTTCAGTGGCACAAACCCCGGTTAACCCATTTCTTCCATTTCCTTATTACAAAGCATACAGACATTATATACTATTACAGTCAGTACATACTTGCATGCAATATGCAGAGCACACATTGACTGATTGGCATCATAAAAAAAAAAAAATGCAACCTGTGCTGATAGTCACACAAAATGTATGGTAAGTTATCAATGTTTGTATACATCCCTTTTTATAGTGTGTGTAATATTTGTATTTCCATTGCCTTTTGTAGGTGCTCAAGGACATGTGTAAGCAGGGTTACAAGGATGCTTTGCACTTCTTAAAGCGGAATGGTATGTACACTTGTAATTCTGTGTTGCATTTATGTGTATTTATCAACTTGTATTTATTTAAAAAAATGGAAATTATAGTTGAATTGTATCTAAAGCCAACATTCTTATTTAGATGGCATGGTGAGGGTAGACCCCCTTACCAGGTTTTTGCGTTCTGTCTCCCCACTTGGGACCCAGTCTTTTTGTCCTGGTGACCACTGCCACTAGGATTGAAAGTGAAGAAAACCTTCTAATGAGGACATTTGTTCTGGTGGCTGCTACCTCATTTTAAATAATTTCCTGCCATTTCCTGTTTCAACATAAGTAAAGGGAAATCTGATTATTGTGGCACAGATGGGGGAAAACTGACAGGGGTTTAACACAAGAATTTCAGGTATGGTAATTTTTTTTATAAACTTGCATTGGCTTATCTTGGACCAATGTAACTATGAATATACCATACTGCTATGTCGATTGCCCCTGTGACTCCTCCACCTGCACAGGGGAGTGTCCAAGATGGCCCATGTGACCTTTGGTTTAACTAGTAGTGAGCATATAAAAGAGGGAGCAGACATTTGATCAGTTGGCTCTGAGGAAGAGGCAAGTCCTCGAAACGCGTCAGTTTTGGATGTCTAAACTCCCTATTACGGACTGTTACTCAGCGCGGTGTTGACCCAGCTGTTCTTTTATAATGTGCCTTGACTATATTGTCGTTTGTGTACAACACCTACTTTATTTTTTATTAAACATTTTTTATGGTAATGCACTAGGCCTGTGTGCCCTCTCTTTGTTCTTTCCCCATTATGAATATACCATACCTGTGGGACCCCTTTGTTAGCTGAAAGCACTGCAGTAGGCATTCCAACTACAGTAATCTCCACTATCCTCTGGGTCCAGGGTCAGGCAACAGCCCTGCTGCATTGTGAACACAGGAGGTCAGCCACTCCACATGGGCGCCATTCAGAGAATGCTTTGCTTTTTCCAATAACTGCAGTCTCATACCTGGAATTTGTCTTTTTTACTTTTCCATGCTCTAAAAAAAAAACAAACAAAAAAAAAAAACAACAAAGTTGGAGATTAAACACACTAAAATATGAATGAGTAGATTACAGCTTGAGTGATCCACATTTAATATTTAGGTTTAATAGTTAATTTGGAATTAGCCAGCTCACTTGAAGCGATTATACGCACGGTTCTGGTGTTCGGTAAAAAAAGATCCATGCTATTATCACAGTTTGCTGACTTTGAAAGACTTCTCCACACTAACACAAACACATTTAGGAGTATTGTAGGAGCCTTCAATCACCATTATTTGAGCAGATCTAGACATAACTGTACAAACAAATGGCAACCACCCCAACCTATAACTAGCCTTTGCAGCAAGGAGCACATAGGACAATACCCATCAAAAAACAAAAATTCCCAGCTCACTTACCAGCTAGCCTGCAAAAAAACTCTAAGGGACCCTGTCTAACCGTTCCCATTAAAAACAAGGGGTTTAATCACACACATTTTGCAAATATATGCAAGCTGCAGTAGCCACATGAAGGCACCCCAGTGTACTGTGGTCCTAACTTTATAATTTGAGAGTCTTCCAAATTGAAACACATATAGCAGTAGATAGATTGAGGGCAGGTGTGCCTGGATGGAGCACACTGCTCTTTAAAGGTACAGAGATGCACAAGACACCCAGCAAGGGCACAATGGAAGCTGAAGGTATCCAGTACATCCCTGTACTCAATACAACCGACTGTACAAACAAATGGAAACCACCCCAACCTATAACTAGCCTTTGCAGATGAAAGGGCAACACAAATTATCAGCTAGCCTGCAACAAAACCTAATGGACTCTGTCCAATAGTTCACATTAAAAACAAGGGGTTTAGTCGCACACGTGTGTCCATTAGGTTTTGCTGCCGGTTAACTGGTAAGTAAGGCTCCATTCACACTTCTGCATTTCAAATCGCGGGTGAATAGCCACGATTCTGCCCGCGATTTGAAAATGTGCTGTAAAAATGTGAAAACGTGCATTCGCGTGTTTAGGTGCCATTCAGTTCAATGGCACCTGAAACCGTGGGGCGTTTTCCGCACGACAAGCATGCTGTGATTGCGGAAACAAAATCGCGGGATGCACGACGCCCAAAAAATATTTCCGGAGCCTTTTATGGGTGTTGGTCATCTCACAATTATGTTTGCGCTATTGCGGCACATTTGTCGTGCAGAAAAATGCGCCGCAGTTGCTGCAAAAATGCCTCGTGTTTTCAGGAGCCAATGCAATGCGCAATTTCTTTCCTGCAATCACGGATGTTGATAAAGGAATTTCTCCCATGAAGCCATTGTGTTCTATGGCCGCCGGGAGAACACAGTGATTTTTTTTTTTTTTGCTACCGTCTATAACAGCCGCTAGCAATAGTCGCATGTAAATCCAGCAGGCTGGTTATACCCAAGTTGATCGATTCGATCAACTTTGGTACATTCAGCCTGCCCATAATGCTGAACCGGCCAAGATTCAGCCTTCTATGGCCAGCTTTATTCTCAAAGTGCATCCTCGCCAGCCTCTGCATTACAACACATTGGCAGGTGTTCGGTCAGGCTGCCTGGACTTAGCGACCCACAACTGCACCAAATTCCAAAATGTGCAGAATGCTGCCAGGAAGGGAGGCAGAGGAATGGCTCCATGGTATACCCGAAGTATGAGTGTAACATGAAACATGGTATGAAAGATTGAATTGGCCAATAAAACTACATTAAAGAGAAACTTGGTGATTTTTTTTTTTTTTTTTTATAATTTTTCCTTCTGGTGTTTTGCTTTATTGCTTGATGATGCGAGCTCAAGCTTTCCTGCAGAAGGGGCTTGAATATTTTTTTCATATAGTATCTGCATAAAAGTACACATATCAGAACATTTATTTAACAATTGTAAAAAGTTAAACTGGTTAGTAGTTTTTGCAAAAGAAAAAGATAATATATTTTCTCTTTTTTTTTTTTTTTTTTTGTTACTTGTTTTTGTTTTTATACAAACATTTTCATGTTTCTCCTATAATGAGATATAATTTTTTATATCTTAATTGTACAGTATATGACACAGGCAAAATATTCCCTTGATTATAGGTTTTTACCTTCAGGTGACTGGACACTGGCAAAGTGTTCAAGCACATGCCTCCAGGGCTAATGTCCTAAGGTGATGGACCTCTTCTCCCTTGTGGAGAAATCATGCTGCTTAACTGGTTTATTATTTTATCTTTGGATTCTTCATTCAAGTCCTTACTGTCTTCGAATGCCACAGATGGAAGCAATACATCTGGATCCACCTTGGTAAAACCTTGGGAGCTGTACCTGGACCCCATACTATGGGCACGGCTTGTAATGTTACTTCTCGCACTGGATCCTGCAAGGGCCCTCACAGGGTACTTTACAGGTCCAGAACCATGGTCCATCCCTATGGAACCCAGTCCCTAAAGACCCCTTTAGGAGTATGTCCACCGTGACAGGCAAAGCTTGGACTTTATATATGGTCCAGCATCGTGGACAGGTCAGCATCAAAATGCATCTCCACCCATTACTGTGAAAGTTGAGAAAACTCAACCACTTAGAGCTTAGTCTCAAGTGGTCACCTGTCCTCCTCTCCACCTCTTTCAATCAGAGAACACTTGCTTTTTTTTAAAAAAAAAAAATGCAAAGCATTCTGTGAGTGGTGCCCCTGCATCCAAGACGATCCTTTCTTCCTAAGGTGATATCAGGCTTTCACCTTAATGAAAACCTAGTTCTACCATACCTATGCTCTGCTTCAAAGCATCAAAAGGAAATCTCTCTGCATTATCTGGATGTCGTCAGGGCCATAGGACACTACCTCAAGGCAACAGCTTCAATCAGAAAATCTGATTTCCTATTTGTCCTGTTCTCAGGATACCTCGCAAGGGACCCCCTTCTTCCAAGTCTACCATCACTCAATGGTTAAGAACTCTGATCAACAGAGCTTACATTCCAAAGGACACATCTTCACTTTTACATGACCAGTCTACCAGATCAGTGGGAGTTTCCTGGGCTTTCCAGCACCAGGCCTCTGTAGTCCAGCTTTGTAAGGCCACCACCCGTTCCTCTGTTAATACCTGTTCAAAGTTTTACCAGGTGGACATTAAATTGTCTGCAGATGCAGCTTTCGGCCGCAAGGTTCTTACAGGGGCATCTTGAAGTTGGATCGGTTGACCCTTCTTGTTGTTGGGCTTGCTGACAACGTTCTGTTTGCCTAATTGTAGTCCATCCTTCTTATTTATTGCTTGGGGATGTCACCGGGTTTCTGAATACTTTGCCTGCATCCTGTACGTTCTCCCAGATACTGAATGGAATTTACAGGGAAGTCAAAATTCCTTGTTTTTTGTTGCCATTGTAAGTGCATAGTAATATTATACTGTATCTTATTTCAACAGGACTACTTAACCGACCGCAGCCTATGGGGTATCTTGCCCTGCAACCTGCTGCCAGTCCACCCAATCAGAATGAGGAGAACAATGAGGTGAAGGAAGAATCTACAGAAAACTCTGTGGTGGAGGAGGCTGAGGCACATGTGTTTGAGCATCTCCCTCAGAGACTCAATCAAGGTAAGGATGACATTAAACTCCTTTACAATTTACCAAAAAGAGTCATAGATTTATACATTATTAATAGGTCACTTCTAGTGTGACAAATTATAAAATGGGAGGGGGTAGGTGCGGAAGAAAATAATCAGTAAAACTCAACATGACAGTACATAACTGCTATGCAAAACTGAAAAAAAATGGTACCTATAAAGGGGACTGTTCACACTGTATGGTGACTGGTGTTTTCTGCACTCAAAACTCCTGAAACTGCTGCTATTGTTTTCCTTTGTGCCGCATTCACACGCCAGTGCTGGCAAGATGTGCGATGTAGAAAACTGCAGACATGTTGCATTGTTCTACAGAGAATTTGGTAGGATCTGCAGGTCACTCCACCACGTTGCACTACTGTGCTGTACTACCCTTGTACACTCCCAAAAGAAATGTAAGTGCAATGCATTGAGTCAGTTCATTGCACTGCCTATCAAAACATACACCAGACTGCATGCTAAAACAGCAGCTAATGTGAAGTTCACACAGGGTTAAAAAAGGATGAGTGGATACATAAGATGACATTTTTAAAGGAGACTGAATTTGGGATTTGATTCCAACATCACTGGTTAAACAGTCCTTCCCACATGGGACTGGACACGAAGATGGCAATTCAGACTTACCGATCAAGTAATACTGTGATGCAGATGCTGCTTCTATATAGAGAACAAATTCTTTCTGTCTTTTCAGCACTACTGGAGGCCTGTACAGAGAAGCGCAGTGTATTCCTATCAATATCTAATCTGTTGCCTGTACGCTTGGCATCTGCATTGATGCTACCATACACTTTACCTCTGGAATCTGCAGTGTCGTTCACAGTCAGGTAATTATCAGACTGGAAGTTTTACCATTTTTAATGCAAGTGTTGCCTTTTCTTACAGAAAAACACACATCTACAAAACAAGCTATGGTGATTGAGTTCGTTAATATAATTTCATTAACTAGAGCTCTATGCTTCACTTTTAGGGCTGTTCTAATTTCCACATTATTTTTGTGTATCTGTGGCAGCCACTATTCCTCTTGTGTGTAGCTGCAGGGATTGAAGTACTGTATCTCCATAGTTGGATACTGACACCTGCAGGAAGGAAGAAGAGCTGCAACAGAGTGGTGTCCCTATACTGGGAGGCAGAAATAAGACCAACATGCAGATCTATGAAGTACATTTTGGTGTGCCCAGCTAAATGTCCTCAGCAGAGATTTTGAAGCATTAAATATATCCCTGGAGACCTATATCCTTTTATAGCATTTACCAGAAATTAGTTTATGTATGGTAGGAACATGTATACTGCTTTGCTAAAGTGTACGTAAGAGCTCTAGCAACATAGCCCTAATTTCTTGTACTGTACATAAACCTTGTTTGGAATATGTAAAAGACTAGATCAATTATTTGGCACACAGTTCAGTGTGACCTCCCTTTTTTTTTTTTTTTTTTTTTCTTTTTCTTTTGGAAAATCAATCTGATTACGGCAAAGAGGATATTGTGTTACAATAATATTGGCACAATCCAACTGATGTATTGTCGCTGCTGGAAGAACTAGCACTGCACTATAGAATATTGAGCTGAAAGTTGATTGAACTTTGTTGGCCAGCAGATAAAGAAACATTACATCAGGGTGTTGACTTTAATAATGTTCTAGGTTTTTCTTTTTTTATTTTAGACTTTTGGAATGGCTTCCTGATGTGCCCGAGGATATTCGGTGGATTAAAGATCAGACGCGCAAAGTATGTCGCTATATTCTTAGGAAAGCTAAGAAGAAGCTGGGCAGTCACATATCAGCCAGGTATACACATGTATATATTGTAATAGTTCCATGCTTGCATAAACAACCTCTAAACTGAGGTTTATTATCAGTGAGATAACAAAAAATAACAAAATGGAAAATATAAAGTGCCTTGCACTACAAAGACCTAAAAAAAAAAAATGTGTGTGTGTTGTTTTGTTTTTTATTATATTGCAGGCCAAGCATTTGGCTTGCAGTTATGGTGCGGTTCCATTGATCTCAATGGATGAGTTTGACTGGCAGACTTAAAAGTGCTTGCTGCAGCCTTATTGTGTGTGTATATATACGGACGTATGTGAGTTAACACGCGAGTTTAACAATGAAAAATAAATTAATGTGTTACTAAAATCAGCAATTTTATATATACATACTGGGCATAAAATCATTATGAATCATAAAATAAACATATATATATATATATATATATATATATATATATATATCTCCCCCAATGCAATAATCATCACATATCCACATGGTGCATGATATCCTGATAGTCCATAGAGTTGTCCAAACCAAAATAGAAAAAAAAGATCCCTGATTTTTCCATACTTATTCTCAGAGTGGAGACAAATTATACAATTCACCAAAGTGTCATCCTCAGAAATTCAGTCACTGGATTATGCGGACCCATTTGTGAAAACGTAGGGTCAGAAAGTGCTTGAGCTAATGATAATGGCAACCCACACTGCTTTATATATCCATGTACTTGTCCAGCATGCCACATAGGCATTCCATCCCAGAGGAGATCTGAAAAAGGAGATTTTCATAGTGTAAAACTGTATGAACATTTATTTTTAGATGAACAAGTGAAACCAATAATCCATTTCAGTACTTTGGCTGCTTTCACACTGATTTGCCTCAAAAACGCTTGAAAAATGACTAGCGTTTTTTGAGGCATTTTTCAAGCGGAACATCCTGGACATGTGACTTACTTTTGTAGCTCAAATTGGGCAGATTTGCACATTTGAATTCACTAAAAAAACGCTACTAAAATACTGCATGAGTTATTTTATCAAGTCATGCAGTATTTTAGTAGTGAAAAGCATGTGTTAATGTTTCAGCTGTCAGCGGGGCTCCCCACTGACAGCTGATTGTAAAAGAAAGAATTGCTGGCAATTAAAAAATAAGACGGCGTGGGGTCCCCCCCAAAATATCCATACCAGACCCTTATCTGAGCCCGGCAGGTCAGGAAAGGGGGGGAGACGAGCGAGCAACCCCCCCGAACCATACCGGGCCACATGCCCTCAATATGGGGGGGGGGGGGGGGGTACTTTGGGGTGGAGGAGGCTATACCCCCCCCAAAGCATCATGGGGACAAGGGCCTCCTCCCCACATTCCTGGGCTGTGGTTGTAGGGGTCTGCGGGCGAGGGGGGACTTATCGGAATCTGGAGTCCCCCAAAGGGGGCCCCCAGATACCCCCCCCCCCCCCGTGCATGTGTATCGAGTACATGGTACCGCTATCCATTCACAAAAAAAGTGTAGTGTGAAAAAAGCAGCGGGCATCGTGATTAACATTGGATCTACTTCTGGGGGACATTTTTGTTTTCCTTCTTTTGATAAAAGGACTTGTCAAAGACTGTCCTTTGTCTTTTTTCACACTAGTTTTTTGGGTGGGTTTTTCGTGAATGGGTAGCGGTACCATGTACCCCATACTATTTCACATGGGGGGGGGATTTGGGGGCCCCCTTGCTAAAGGGGGGCTTCCAGATTCCAATAAACCCCCCCCTGCCCGCAGACCCCCTCAACCACAGCTCAGGGTTGTGGGGAAGAGGCCCTTGTCCCCGTGGCCCAGGCTGCATGCTCAGATAAGAGTATGGTATGTATTTTGGGAGGGACCCCGTGCAGTTTTTTAATTGCTGGCAATTCTTTCTTTTACATTCAGCTGTCAGTGGGAACCCTGACAGAGCTTCGCACATGTGCAGTGCGTTTTGTGGATCGGTTTTAAACGTTTTTGGAGTGTTTTTGAGGCAGTTACCGTTCATTTCAATAGGAAGAGGCATTTTTTTAGCTCCCCAAACATGCCTCAAAGCTGCTGCAAGCAGGAGTTTACACTGCACCGCAAATGTCTGTGTGAAAACATACATAGATATTATTATTATTATACAGTATTTATATAGTGCCAAAGGTTTTCTCAGCGCTGTACATTATAATGGGAGACAGTACATGAAACAGTACAGTAACAATGCAATGCGATACATGAGGGGTTCGAGGGCCCTGCTCCTTGGAGCTTACAATCTTGGAGATATATTCACATACACAGGGAAGCAGTTTTCTTGAGCTTTTCAGGCTTTTTTTTTAACGCAAAAATGCTTCAAAAACTCCTCCGTGTGAAAGCAGCCTTAAAGTGATTGTAAAGGCTGAAGTTTTTTTGCCTTAATACGTCTCTGTCCCTCCTCACTGGACAAATTGATCGTAGCAGTAGCCATTGGCTCCTGCCGCTGTCAGTCAAACTCTGCGACAAAGGAGAAGGGCAACTGTAGCTGCTGACTTTTAAAATACAGACACTTGCCTGTCTCTCGGTCCAGCTGTGTCCTCACCATGGCTGGTTTCATCGGCCGTCTTCTCTCCCTGACGCCGGCATCTTCAGTGTGGGCACCCAGCTGTGACAGCTTGTGGCTTCACAGCCTGGTGCCCACTGCGCATTGCGCTTTGTAAATGGCCCCATAGTCTTCTGGCACCTGTCACGTGTCCCAGAAGACTACGGGGGGGGAGGACGACGTCCGCTTCCTATCGCCTAGGCGATCGCAGCAGAAGTGGGAGCGGGTATCTTGTCAAATTTGGATACCTGCTCCCCAAAGGTGCCAATCCTTAATGGGGAGCGGGGGACAAAGGCTTAAAGCGGAACTTGCCCTTTTGGGTGGAGGTTCGCTTTAACTACTCCCTTCTCCCATCTGGATGTTCTCATTATTACAAACTTTTGGATGTTTCATATTATAGACAGCAGGTGTCGCTCTAAGCCTGACATCTTACAACACTGAATACACTGACTAATTTTATTACACACAATGCATAAAACGATGATGTGATTGTACTGTGTGTGTGTGTGTGTGTGTTTGTAAAGCGCAGCATAAATTGACAGCGCTATAGAAGTACTTGTAATAAAATAAAGCAATAATGTAAAATAGATATAGAATAAAATATACTGCATACCCAGTTCATGATCGTACATGACAGTGGTTGCTTGAATGTTAGGGTTACAAGGAGAGTTAATGTTAGGTTATAGAAACTGTTGTGGGGGGGGGCGCATGTGATCTCTAGAGGGACCTGATGTTCATGAATAACTATATCATAATCTGTTATTTAGGATGACATCCCCTATGTGTATAACATAAGACTATCTTTTACATGAATTACTAGTAGGAGAAACACACATTTGCATTGTACAAGATGCAGGAATAAACCAGGAACCAAGTTCTCAAACGTTCTCAGCTTTATCCTCCTGATATTAGTCTCACTTAGGAGGGATGTTATTTCAGTGATATTATAAGCCCATAAACCCAGGTTTCATGTGGCAGGGAAAGCAATCAAAGACAGAAGGGTTTAATAAAATTACAGGGCTTACGTCAACTGCTGCAGAAGGATTTACTTGTAGAATAGGTAAAATGTGCTGTGTTTTTATGACCTGATGTTGACCGTAATCCAGTGACCAGCTAAACTGACTTAAAGCCAGTACAGACTGAAGTCCATGCATATGTTTGTATCAAAACAAGATATATCTCAAACAATTAATTATCAAATCTGTTCAACCATCAAAAGTTTCTTTGTATTTGAATGCAGTCTTCTTTTGGGCCCATAGTTAAGACAGGATATGGGCAGTAAACTTGTCTCCAGGTTTTTCATTTGACCAACATCATATTAAATGTTTATTGTTGTATAAAATGTTATTGGCTTTATTCTCTGCACATACTGTTCTCATCTAGGGCAGAGAGCCATGATCAGGAAGCCATCAATAGCCATCAAAAATCACCTTTTAGCAACTTAGAATGAGCAAACTAATGAACAGTTAACTGCGAGTGGTCACTGTGGGTTCATACACACCACTGCTGCTTGCTATTTGGAATCTACAAATCTCCTTAGGTCCTGTGTTGAAGGGCTTTCGGCTTGTGTCAATGCGCAAGTGCAGTATGTGTTTCGGTGCGTTGCATTTCACATTAGTTTGAGACGTTTCTGAGATCATTTATGGGTCTTGCATGCAGGCTGTTTAAGGCCATTGAGCATAATGCCTGGCATATTTTCTCCTTCCAGGTAGCCCCAGTGCAGCATACAGGCTGTCATTAAGGCCCTGTTCACACTTAACGTAGAGCTTGCGATTTTGTGTGGGCGATTTTTACATGATTTTGCATGTCACGCCTAGGGCAGCCCATTTGGAACAAATTTTGGCCCTGAGCCAGGCGTATTTTTACACATATGTTTTTGCCACGATTCTTTCATGTTTTGCCATGCAACTATCACGGGAAAATCGCATTGTGTTTGTGATGACTTTTGATAGCACCCAGATGTACATTTCAAGTTTTTTGTGGCAATTTTTATCTCAATCTGGAACTGCTTAAATGTGAATGGAGCCCTACATGATACCATTTGTTGTAATGACAGACTACACGCTATACTTGGGCTTTCTGGGCAGAAGATAAATGGTAGCAATTACGGTGAACAGTTTCAAGTATCCCCTGTGCAAGAGCTCTACCGCTTACTGACAGGTGCATTTGGTCTTTAGTTGACCTCCTTCTGACTTGCATCCACCAGCTTCAAGATGTATCTGCATTTCCATTGACTTGGGAGAGAGAGGCATTTCTGATGGGAACAAAAGCCCATGGACCCTGGCGTTTACTCTTTTTCTCAATAAAGTTTTTTAAATCACATGAGAATTGTAAATTATTGTGGAATGTAAACCTTTATCAATCACCAATAACATCCAATTTTATAATCTGTTATTGAAAGTCGATATAGTGTTATTATCCAAAAAGCAATAAGAAGTGCAAATTCAGTCATCTCTAAAGAAAGGGGAGATGGGGGACGAGAATAAAATGAGTGTAGGAGATATCTTTTGATGAAATCTGCTAATACGTCCATATGTCCTTCAGAAAGGTGACCCTCCTTGAAAAGGATCATGTTTTATCTAGAACTTCTAAGGGAAATGCAATTTTAATATCTTATTATCACACATTTTTTTTATTGTAGGCTCTACTACCATTTGGAGCTCAGGAGATCTCAGAGCCTTCCTGTTCCCTTGGTCTTTGGAGGCAGTGAGTCTTTGCCCAGGTGGATTAGGAGCAATACCTCCTTAATGGACATGATGCAGAAATGGGAGGAATATCAGAGGCAACTGATACCTGGACTGTTCTGCATCAATGTGGATATGCAGGCAACACTCTACCACCATCAACAGCCACAGCATCCTGAGCTTTCCATGGATCCTAACAGTCTGCTAATGGTAGAGGTGACCAAACCAAACAGCTTGGAAGCACCATGATGGCCATAGCAAAATATGGATACCAAAGACCTGGATAAGGACCTTATTATTCAGTGGTTATTTTACCAAGATCACCTATAGGTTTTTAATATTTTTGAGGTGAAATGGTGTTCTAAATACAGCTTGGCCAGTTTTTTTGGGGGGCTGTATTATCCATCATTGGAAAATGCCAGTGAAGTTTAAACAAGATGGTGCCATTAGAGATTGTGTTGTATGGTCTTTTGGGACCAGATTCAGCTAACCACAAACAAATCTCTAAAATAACAGTGTTAATAATAAGGAGATATGTTGTGGCTAATAAATGGGTCATCATAAGGTGTTAGAAGTCAACACAGCAATGCAACTGATAATGAGTAGGAGGATACAAGGTATTGGGTATCATTTCATTAAGTAAGATCAGGTGTGTTTAATTTGTTCACACAGAAAATGTTCAAAAGTTTAGTGGTAAATTTAATGGTACATATTTACTATTACTAAAACCAGCAAGTTCTATATGTATGCTAAATCTACAGATAAAGTGTGCAAACGGCCTGATCTTTGTTTCTAAGTACAACTTCTGCCGTTATTACCATTAAGAGAGTATTGTGAGTCCCGGCATTCAGGCTTCTTGTTTGAGGATAAGTAGATATCTCTCTGCTCTTTATTCTCTGGGATATTTGCCTGTCTGTGGCTCTGTGGAATCATTCAGTTCTAGAATTTGATTCCATTATTGTGATTACAGTTGGGTTCCTGCAGTGGTATGTAGGAAATCCTTGGCAGAAGGGCTCCTTAGGCATGTAGGTATAAAGGTCCCTATAACATGCCCCAAAGCAGCTTAATTAGTACAAATGTATTATCTTAATCAAAATGTCTCTCCAGCCTCATAAAACCCACTTAATAATGTTCATATTTTTTTTTTTTCTATCACGGATGTTGTCAGGTTGGACACATCCTAAAGATAGTCTTATGTATACTTGCCTTGCATCAGCCTATATATACTTTACAATACAGTAAAAATCATTTTTATTAAGCTTAGGTTACGATTAGGTTTTAAGAGGGTATGGCATGTTAAACGACTTCAGAAGGCTGACAGACGTGGTAGTGTTGACAATTCCAGTCACTGTGCATTTTTAGTTGTGCAGAACTACAGCAAGTAAAATGTACTCCAACAATATTTAATTTTTGTAATGGCCTATTTACATCAGTGCATGTTAACCTGCATTGGTTAAGGTTGCACATTCATTTTTACTAGGCTGCCATCACGTCTTAAATTGGACATCACTACAACAAATAAATGGCTCCTCAATGCGCCAAAACGTGTAACTTGTGTTATCACAACACAAACGTGCTCTGTCTGTAGCATGGTACATTGTGGTGTGGGAGATGTGAAGTCAGAGTCTGTAACCTTGCTTCATCTGAAGTGGTCAGAGTCTCAGAGCAGAAAAGACAAGTTGATTTACTTAGGGCCCTTTCACATGGGCGATCCGATCAGGTACACCTGTCTGTTTTTCAGACCTGATTGGATGGTCCATGCATTCCTGTGGACCGGCGAGTGTAAACAGACTTGTGTCCATTTATACCCGCCTACCTCTGGGTTCCGATCAGGCCCACTAAAATAAATGGAGGTGGACTGTGTCCTCTTCTGTTTGGGAGGACCACGTCAGAGGCAGAGTCCATTTTACACCTGGCTAGATTTGCCTAGCAACAAGAAAAATTAAACACAAAACGCATCAAAAACGCCGCAAAATCACAGTACATGCTTTCCTGCAGTGTTCCCATTGAAGCCTATAGAACCAAAAACACAACATTTTGCATTCAAAAAAGTCCTTGACCCTTTCCAAAAAAAATGCACTGGGTGAAAACGCAGAGATTTGAACCTGTCGCATAGGAAATCATGTTAAATGGACTGTACTGTGTTTCTTCAAAACGCTTAGGTGTGAACCTAACTCAATAAACTGAATATTCACATCAATGATTTTATCTTGTGATAAGCAGGTTCCTGTTCAATCTGCATACCCAGTGATGTGCAGATAAAATAACCGGGAATATACTTCACATGATTGGATAAGTGAGGCGAATATTTGAGTGAAGATTCTCAACTTTAGTAACTCAGTCTTGGGCTGACCACTATACAGTCTGAATGTACAATCTCCACTATGTAGTGCAGGGAGGCACTGCATAGTGGATGGGAGGTTTATCCTCATTAAGTGATTTTGGTAAATCTAAAGAAGATTTATAACAATTGTACATTCTTATTGTTTAGTGTGTTGCCACCTTACGTGATTTCTTGAATTCAGGATAATAAAAAAAGTATGCATTACAGTTACATTTGTTACACAGCTTTACCTCTGCACAATAATATACTACTTTTATTATGTTTAAACCCTTTCCTTGCAGGTCTGCTGTGGCTTACATAAACATATGTGTTGTTGATTAAGATGGGAAAGTATGTAGATTTTCTTGCATAGAATACTCTGAATGAGGTATTGAAGGTGCGATCAGCATGACTTCGATTTCAGCTAGACTTTGTCATAACTCCAGCCAAAACTTTAATTTGGTATTGTAAATGATGGGGAAGGATTGAAACCTCTGTCATGGTTTTATTGTTGCCTGTGTCCCCTTTAGCCCTGGTTCACATATATGCAGCCATGCGGGCCACGTTTTGCGCAGGCACAAGAGCCCATTCATTTGAATGGACTCCCGTGCCCCAGGACACACAGGGAAGAAGTCCCTGCACTTATGAAAACGCAGCCCGCACGGGAACCTTGGTTCCCAGTACGTTTGTGTTTTCCATTGCCGGTGCCTTGCCATGAGAGCTAATGGCACCCGCCCGCGGGTCCGCATTCCTCTGTGCAGGTGGTGCAGCTGCATGGATTTTCATGTGGATCTGCAGCTGCACCACCAGCACAGATGTGAACCAAACCTCAAAGAGATTTTCCCCTTCCTTCCTGTTGTGGCGACAGGAAGTAATACGAAATCTCTCCGATCGGCGAACAGCCACAAAAACAACATTTGTAGTAGAACTAAGAAAGGTTACCTCTGTGGGGGTTTTATTATTGTCTGTGCCTTCCCTGTGCCAGTGACCCCCCTCCAAATTTCATGTCCTGGTGTCACAGAGATAAAATCCCTGAGGAAATATTTCAAGTTGGGGCACAGAAAACAGATCAAACCTGATAGAAGTTCTGATCTTTCCGTGCTGCAGCTTTGGCTGGATTTGGGCTGAATCTTTATTTTTTAAATAAGGTAATAAAGTTAGTCAATGCAAAGTCTTTATCATAGATGGGCACCAATATATATGTGCCCTCTTCTTCATAATTATAGAAACAAGTTTTGATTTATTGATAACTGGGCTTGGTGTATGGTATCTTGAAGAATAGAAAGCGAGGCTTCTTTCTGACTTGTGGTACTGCTTTCTGCAACTGAAAAGTGATGTGCAGATCAGTATGTGGATTGTTTTTCAGAGGGCGGTATAGCAGAAGCCGACAAATGTTCAGGAGGTGCTACTGCCATCTCCTGAACACCTGTGGTTTTTTTTTTTGTTTGTTTTTTGTTGTTTTTATTTGTTTTTTTAATAATTTTATTTTTAAATTGCTGAACAGCAGTTTTACATTGCAAGACCATTCTGTAACTGCAAGCTGAGCTTTCAGCTTACGGTTGCTTTGCAGCCCCATGGAGCTCAGTGGGGGAGTTCGGCAGGGGATGCTGCCTGTCAAACTCTGCACCCCGAGTTAAAAATGACGTGGCTGTGAATCGGAACATTGAGGCTGCGCCAAGTGTACAGCCCTGTCCGGCTGTATTGTTACAATTTGGCAGGGTGCTGTCGTGGTGGTGTTGCACTAAAAGACAAAAAAAGAGCCATGCTTTTATAAGGACTGTTCACATCAATGCACTGCGTTGGTGTGAGCTGTGATGACATTATGCACACATCCTTTTATTGCAGTGTGTTGCAATATACTGCTGTGCAGAGACTTGCTACACATCACACACCAGCGGCCCTGCGTTGTAGTGCAGATCTGGTGTGAACCAGCCCCAAAATTGTATAAGTATGGCCACTATGGATAACACCCTTCTTTTTCTATTTCACACACTTCTTGAGTGAGCTTTGCTTGAGGGGAAATCATTGACAGTATGCATTGCCCACATAGACAGGATTCTGTCCAGTCCAAGCAGTGTGGGGAAAAAAAACAAAAGGATCCAAATAGCTGGTATGAGTTACCACAGATTAAAAGTAGCCTTCCTTCAGACGCTGATAATTGTGGCCCTTGTATTTTTATTTTATAGAAATGCTCTATGCCATTTTTTGTTTTGTTTTTTTTTCTTTTAGCACTGGAATTATAAAACCTTTGTACAAAATCAGCATCTTAAAATGCAAATTTCTATTTTCTTTATTTATTTTTGTTTGTACAGCTTTATTATTTGATGTTGTTAATGTTCTTCTTAACTATTACAGCTATTATATTTACTAACATATACTGCCTTCTATACACAATATATATATATATATTTTTTTCATGTATCTAATTGGTTGATACAGGGAAATTGAAGCAAAATGTTTTTTCACCCCGTGGACCTTTTTGGTCCCAAAACGTTGTCTTTCTACCTCAAATTTAAACATAGCTGCTGTGGTTTGCCAATAAAATTACTGTCACATAAAACCAGCATATGGTCAATACAGCGTGTTTTATGTATTTATTTGTCAGCATAATTACTGCTATTTGCCTTAACTACACCTGAATGTTTCAGGTGATTCCGCTTCTAGGATGATGTATCTTGCTGTGAAAACTGTACTGTCATCTGATCACACCACTAGCGACTGTTTCTTTCAGTTATCAGGCATGCCTTTTGTTCCAGCAAATTTTATTTGCACACTTAGGCCCCTTTGACAAGGGCGATCCAATCAGGTCCGTCTGTCAGTTTTTCAGGCGGACCTGATTGGATGGTCCGTGTATTCCAATGGACCGGCGGGTGTAAACACACTTGTGTCTGTTTACACCCATCTACATCAAATCCAGTCCACTAAA